CTCAGGAGCTCTTTACTTGAAAATAACGGAGGGACCCCCCCCAAAAGCTATTGTTATGATAGGTTATAACTAGTGCTACTTATCAAAACAGAAAAAGTGTTAAATGTAAGTATTCACAAGCACACAGTGATGACCTCATCATGTCCTGTGGCCTCCAAAACTCCACTGTGGGCTTGTGAGGGAACGAGAGTGAAAAATTTCTAAGATGTTTAGTACTATTACAAAATATTTTTGACATTGAAGACCCCCTGAAAGGGTCTCAGGGACCCCCAGGATTTCTTGAGATACTATTTGAAAACAACTGGTATAGAGGAGCTAGCTCTCTGAGTCTGTCCCCGTCAAGGGCCTTTAACCTGTAGGACATTTAACAGCTTAAGCAAAAATGGGAAGTATTTGAAAAGCCGCTGGGACATTGCTCCTACTTTGAGCAATGAAGATTGAAACCTCAGGAAGGGCAAGAGAGTGGCAGGGACTCGGGACTGGGAAAGAGGAAAGCACTCTGGAAGCTTCTGGCCTCTACTTCTTCATTCTTCTCTCGCACAGCTGCCTTTTCTGTCTCTCTGTGCACATGACCGCCATGGCTCCTGCACTGATAGGTCCCTAGGTCAGCTCCTGTACTAACCAACTGTTTTCCAATTCCAAGTTCTTTGGAACTAGAATCTGCTCTGGTCAGGTGTCCACTCCTGAGCCAGCCAATCAGCTGTGGCCACCCAGAGCAGAGCGCCATGTGGTGCAGTCATGGCTGCCATGGCCTATCAGTGTGTGAATGAGAAACGGAGTGGAGTGGGGTGGGCACCTCACAGAGAGGGAGAACTGGTTTCTTTTGGGTAATCAGCTTCAGAGTTTTCTATAACAGTCTGGAAACCTTGGTCCTGTTTCTTCTACTGGCTCTCAGACTATGGACAAGTTGTGAACCCTCCCTGGACCTGTTTTATCAAGTGCCAAATGGGAATAATAGTATTTGCTCTAATTCGTAGGTTATTGTAGGAATTAAATGAAGTGGTATATGTGAAAGCGCTTCAGATGGCATAGTGCTAAGTGTTGGGGGTGCATAATAAAGTATGAAATGCATCTTTGCGCCCTAACCGGTTTGGCTCAGTGGATAGAGCGTCGGCCTGCAGACTGAAAGGTCCCAGGTTCGATTTCGGGCAAGGGCATGTACCTTGGTTGCGGGCACATCCCCAGTGGGAGGTGTGCAGAAAGCAGCTGATCGATGTGTCTCTCTCATCGATGTTTCTAACTCTCTATCCCTCTCTCTTCCTCTCTGTAAAAAAATCAATAAAATATATATTTTTTTAAAAAAAGAAATGCATCTTTGCTCTCAAGGATGTTGGAATTAAATTGAGGAGAAAATAGCAACAGCCATGATACAATTAGAAAGCACAGGCTTTTGACTGTGCACTAACCAAATGCACTGAGAGTTCAGAGGAAAGAGAGAGATCCACTTGGGCAGCGAGGGGAAATAATTTGTTGAGCACTTCCTGTAGACATAGCACTGTCCTCTGTGGTTTCACACACCCTTAGTTCTTTTTCAGCAACCCTGCAGTAGAGATGCTGCTGTGCCCATTTTACAGGTAAGAACGGTAAAGCTTAGAGAAGTAACTTGTCCAAAGACACATGGCTGGTATTTAAACCTGTGTCTGACATTAAAGCTGATGTTTTTTACTCATCAATGTGGCAAGAAGAAGATTCTTGGAGGAGTGGAATGTTAGCAGGGCTAAAGCATGGATCAGATGGGGATGGGAAGAGAGGCAGGTCCAAGACAGGCATCATTAAAAATAAAGGCGTGAGCCCTAACTGGTTTGGCTCAGTGGATAGAGCATCAGCCTGTGGACTCAAGGGTCCCAGGTTCGATTCCGGTCAAGGGCATGTACCTTGGTTGCGGGCACATCCCCAGTGGGGAGTGTGCAGGGGGCAGCTGATCGATGTTTCTAACTCTCTATCCTTCTCCCTTCTTCTCTGTAAAAAATCAATAAAATATATATAAAAAAAATAAAGGCGTGAGCTTGAGGTGAACCTAGGGGTATTGGCATTAAGTTGCCATTGGATGTCAGTGGGTTTTAGATGGTAATGAATGAATGGCCATGGGTTTCTGTCCTTCACTCCCTTTTTTTTTTTTTTT